GAAAATGATGGTAGAAAATGTAAAATGACCAATTCAAAAATGCTAATATAAAACTATGAATGTATTATATTTAGACTGGCAAACGTATATCATATTTTTGAATGCATGATATAAAAGACCATGTATCTCGAGTTGCAGAAGACGTTGGCACGAAAAGATCCCTCACTGCTCAATGGCCCTGCATAGGTATTAATTAGCCTACCACAGGCAAGTAGTGGCGTGTTCATATGTGCAAAGATTGTTTAACAAAAAAAAAAAACAACAACAAAAAACAAAAAAAAAAATCAACGGAAAATTAAAAATACCAGTCATAAAATACATGTAAGAACATACTTAACAAATCATGGGATAGAAAGATAAACATGTCCAAGAAATATGACCCACTTCTTCAGCATTTGAGAAATCAGCCCCTAAAGATAATAGTTGTACAATGTATTTTGAATAGAATAATTGGAATAGCTACATCTACCAGTTTACCTCACGGTGTATCAGAACAAATTAGATAATAATAGATTACTGTGCCAAAATATATTCTCTTGTAGTATTGATATTTAAGTTCCCTATTACAAAAATAACACGTCTTCTCTTTTAAAAGCTCGTAACAATATTACAATGAGCACTAGATTTCTCTTGAAATGAACAATGCTTAATGAGCTAGTTTAATTTTCACGGGCAAACGAGTGTCACTTTTTTCAGCATCTCTCCGAAATATCTCTGAAAGCTCTAAAGAGGATTTCCTCTTCCGAAACAAAGTAAATCTTCCGGGATCTAAGTGTTTTACTGCCAAAATAGCCATGCATGTTTTGATAACAATGCAGTGTGGCTCTCTGTGTATGTAATTACTAATTAAAGGTCTTTCTTGATCAGAGATTCAGAAAAAAAGATAAGGAAGATACAAACATAAATAAAAATGAAAATGATATTTACAAGCTTTAAACAAGATACGTAGAAAAAGGTTTTGTGTGTTTATTTTTTAGGAAACTTTTTAATTTTTCTTAAGGTTTTCTGAGCATTTGATTTATTTTAAACAGTTATCCCTGAAGTATCCTTATGGATCCTTAAAAAACCCAGAAATTATTTTATAAATCTTAATTTTTAAAATAGAAGAGTTTTTTTTAAAATTTCAAATCTTACTTTTGAATACATCACAATGTAACATTAATGTATGTAATAATATTGTTATGAAATCTCCTTCTTTTCTAGCTAAAGTCTTGGTGTTTGGTGCTTAACTTACTTATTACAAAGTTTCTGTACCACCTAACATTTCGCAAGTCCCCCCATTTTTGTTACAGTGCATGTCTGCTTTAAATACCTCAGGGATATTGAAATTCTCAAAACTAACCGAGTCACGTAGTTACTAATACTGTTGAGCAAACTAGTCCGTTTTTTACCACTGAAGACAAACTTTGTCCCTTACACAAATGTACAGTTCACTTATAGCATATATTTCCTCATAACTCCATTCTCAGTAAAGTCTATCAAACATTATCTTTGCAGCCTCTTACAATAAAGGATACCTTTTTCCTGCTCAAGTAGCAAATATACTAGTATAACAAGTGAAATTGTGTACATGCATCAATACTGAAATTAACACTGTACATTTTACTTCGTTTTAGGATAATGTTACACATTAAACACTATACAGTAAGTAGTTAAAAACAAAATGTTCCCCTGCTTTCCTATCTCATTTTTATAGTTCAATGTTGTTGCATACAAAACAAAGATCTACCAATTTTTCAAATTTTTTAACAATGTTTTTTCTCGAAATTATGAAATGTTATTTTTCAAAATAATGACACCCAAATGGTTATAACCACACAGTTACTCCATCTTTTTACATTTTTTTACTCTAGGAAAATACATGATTTTTAAAAGAGGCACTGAACCTTACATTTCTTCTTTTTAAGTCAGAACTCAATAGAAATTAATGACCCATGGATCGTCGAAAATAAAAAAGTAAACACAATAAAATAGTCCGAAAGAAAACAATTAAATGTTTTATTTATAAACTGTAAAGTCCAGTCTCTCAAGATTCATTTGTAATACACTTACTGCTTTGTGACTCTTCAGCGGTTTTCAGCCATTTAAAGTTGAAATAAAATTATCTTTTTGTTTTACTATTATACTTCTGTATTTATTTTATTAATCTGTTTAAATAGGAAAATACATTTGTCCTTCACAAGCTATATTTATTGCTATTCTCACATTACAAGAAACACCTGAATATCGATAATTTGATAAAAGATTCAAGTTTTGAAGTATTAAGGTGAAAATCATCTGATTTAATATTCCTCTCACTCGATCAAATACATTTGTTTTGAAAATATGTTGACAAAATATGTAAGGGTAGAATCCTTCCATTTTAGACATAAATTAAACCTTTGTTTCTAGGAGAAAACAAACAATTAGGGGAGTAATTTGGCAAATATATTGTTTATTACCCAAAGATACACCTTAAAAGTAAATGCTTGTATTGTCGTTAGAATTTTCTTGTCAACAGCTTCAGAAACTTAAAGAACTCTCATATTTATTCAATAAAAGTTTTTTTTTAACGAGTAAAATTTATTAATTAATTGAAATATAAAACACTTAATCATTTTTCGAATCGGAAGGACCTATTTATACATTTCCCCTATGAAAACGATTATGATGGATATTTACAGTAGAAAAGTGAAACCGTTTCAAAATGTAAAGAACTGAAACTCGTGTAGATATGATGGATTTAGTGAGAATTGTACAAGAAACTACGAGGTATTAAAGCATTAGATAAACTGACCAACTATACTTGTTTATTTTTGTCCTATTGTAGAAAATTTATATGTTTATTCTCCAAAAGCCAAAATCTATTAATTACAGCTGTCTCACAGAACGACTGCAAAAAATAAAACGACAAGGGAAAAGTGTACTAATCCTAATATAAAAAAAAATATTTGAATATAAACAGATGAAATCTCGATATAACTATAAAGTTAACAACACATACCTGTTCATACAATATCTATTATGCTTTGTTAAAATATTAAATTGATCTGTACCCTTAGCAACAGATGATACCTACAATGTACCTTCAGATTTGCGTTTGTCTTTTCTTTGATTGTACAATAAATAGATGTTATATACATCACATGTACCCCAGCACAGTTATTAAATAATAAACAAAAATGTTAGCAAAAAAAAAAATCGGTAGTTATATAGGAAAATGCAGTGGTGATTGACGATTGCGCAAATGCCGCAAATAACGTGTTGTACAGAAACATTTTGTAAAATTCTGCGTTTTGAGACAATTTTTATAACTAAACATTTTAATACTTTTTAATTTTATATCAAAATTTGTTACACAGGTGTCAATTTGAAACCCTTTTATGATAGGTAAACACTCCTACCCGAAAATGAGAGATTCACTTTTTTCGCTCACATTACTGTCTTCTGAAATAATCACTTTTCAAACATTTTTATCGAACAAAAGAGTATAAAGCTGTTTTCTTCCTCCTTAAGCTCAAAGTATGTTAAACAATGCTCAATAATGTCAGTATACATGTTAATGCATTATCAAAATAATTTTCAAATATTAAAAGAAAATTTAAGAAGTTTAAAAATTAAATCAATATATTATTTTTAATTATATATCAAGAAAAAAAAATAATTTTCGTTTAATATTTTTTCTTCTATTTAAGTAAACATAATAAATTCTTGAAGTTTTTATCGTCTGTCAAACACAGCAAGAAATATATTCTTCATGACACAGTTTATCCCGTATCTGATATTTTCGTACGTCAGCTTCTGTTCTGCTACCTATCTGTATTCTTTCAATGGACTTTTGAGCAGGATACTACTCGTTATCTCTAACGTAACATATAATTTTGAACTGTTTTCTAATATTTATTCTTGCTTTTGCACACTCTATGAAACAACCTGTTTTGTTCCGGTGGAAGAACGAAACGAGCATTGCATTCTTGTTTTTAAGTGACAAAAAGTAATAAACTACTTACAAGAGTAATCAAATATAGTAATACATATTAAGAAACATTTTATTTTGAATTTAGTGAAAATAAAATTAGTGTAGTAAAATTAATTATGTTAATCGCATAGTACACTATCAACGACAAGTAGAACGTAACTACGCACAATTTTTTTAATGTCTTAACCCAAAAGATAATACAGTTGGACAGGTGAAAAAAAACTTGAATTAAAGAAAACATTCAACACTAATGACTTTTGTCATCATTCCATAAATCCCCATTAGTGCTATACACCACAATGTTATGAATAAAATGTAAAGATTAAAACAGTTAATGAGCTTGAAAGTCCTTTGAAATAATTCAAACAGGTGCAGGATACTTAGCAGAGACCTCTGAAACATCAGAATTGGGATCTGTGAATTAAGTAAATGTTACTATATCAAATCAGAGATTTGAAGACATTTTTGCTGTGTGATTTCTGTGTACTTCATGGGAGTACTACATTTACACTGAAAAAATAACTAGTGAAAGTCACTGGGAAGACTAGCAAATTTACTGTCCATACATCACTACCTCAAAGTAGTTTAACTAGGTATTGGGTAGATTTACTAGATAGCATTAGTAAATCTAAGAATTTATAAGTAACTATCACTAGGTATCTAAGTATCTTTACGACTTCGACTCCATTTATCACTATCTTAGCCAGTAAACAGAATGATTACTTAACACTTCAATAGGCACTCAAGTTAAATTAACCAAGGTGTTTCTTTAATGTCAGTGTAATGATGACTCTCGTAATAACACAAAAACTGAGAGAGAACAATTGTCAACAAAAACCACGTGGTCTCGAAAGATAGGAACTTTCCCTAGTTACACTGATAAACTTTGAATGGTATTTTTGCTTTTGAAAATTCTTCAAAAACTTCTGCTTCCGCTAGTAGAATTTATATATAAAACGTTTTTTTAAGTAAGAAATTAAAAATCAAGAGTTCAACTTCTACTTCAATTGTAACCAATTCAATGAAGAGCTCAACAAATATAATGAGTTTGGGTAAGGATGGTATGCAAATATATTTATATACATACTCATAGAACCTATATTCAGAATCGTTTACGATATTTTTGGTTCTATTTTTTAAATAGGGACATTAAATAAAAATTTTTCAACATTCAATTTTTACACATAGGAAACACGTTTCTATTCTTGAGTTTTTCACTGAATATGTTTACATTTTTTGACATCCATGCCATAATTAGTATAACATTAATGACCTGATACATTGGATGTTCAGCAAGTTAGACCATCACGGGTTGTGACCTCATTAATATCTACAAAATAAATATGCGATTTTCTGAAATCAAAATTACAATAACTGTTTCCAGAGTAAAAATAATGCCTGATTTTTATTATATTATTAAAGCGAGTTACAGTAGTATTCATACGAATGCCTTATCTATTTTAAAATAAATATAAAATTCATATGTGCACTTTTTACAAGTCTACTCATTTAGAATATTTGTGCTTTTCTTAAATTACACGCATCTTAACATTTATATGATAAGATGATAGATAGTCATTTAAATGTTCAAGATTGATCAAAATCACAGACCAAAACTTTAACGTTTCACAGAGGTGTGTTAAGATTTAACCATATAATAATTATATGCAGTTACTCGTCTATTAGTTTTCCATTATTAAAACGTATTCGAAAGCACTGAAGAATGAATGCTATTTGTCTCCTTATAGGAAAACCAGTCTACATTACGTAAAGTTTGAAACTCTTTTAATTGGTGCAAATAACGTTTCCGTGCATCTTTAAGTTCACTAGAAAAAGATCATTTTCAATAACGCCAAACAATAAAAAACCTTGTATTATTTTTTTTCAAAATTAACAAATTTTGATGAAGGGAAATGCAAAACAGGTGCGTCCTTCGGCTGTATTCATTGTTGTCTGATTTGCGTAATTGTTTTGAGAATCTACGTTAACAATCTACATGTAGGAGTATGCATTCTAATTTCGCTGTGCCAAAAGTCAATAGATTTTCCCGCATAATATAGCAGAACATCTTTGGCTCTCGGCACGTTGTGTAGGCTATTCTGAGTAAAGTAAAATTTTATTGTATATATTTACTTATTAGATCATACTTTATGTGAAATCACCGGTTTAATTATAGAAGGGAATAACTTATAAAGCTTGGTATGTAGAATCTTTTGTCATTTTTCATCCAAAGCAAAAACATGCGGTTAGATTGACAAAAACATGAAAACAATAGTGTACTCAAGCAAATATTGTAAAACAAATTTTCTTCAGGGTAAGCAATGGAAAATATTTGTATAATAATATTCTGAATAAGTAGATTTTTACAACTCTCAGATTCTTGATCTAATGATACAGAAGAATAACTGGTTTAATTTCTTCAACTTCAGAATAACAATCATGTGTCATATCTAACACGAACATGACGAACACAACTTAAATTTCAAAACTGTTAACTTTTCTATGATCACATCAATGGCTATATATGGTTTCTAATTAATATCAGCATGAAATTATGATAATCTTACCAAAAACAAAACTTTTGTTGGAGAATCAATGTACTATTAGGCCAGAAAGAAGATAGGCTTTTATAATTTTCCAGATCGTATCTACTAAAAATTATGATAAGTACAGCAATATTCAAAACAAACTTTATAAAATGACATAGCTTTCAAATTCCAATTATATGATATAGTCAGTAAATCACATAAAAAAGTTAGTTATGTCTGCGAAAATCTATAAACTTATGCAAATCATATACAAGTTTACAAGTTTAGATTTGTTTATATTTTACGCCATTTCAGGATTCCTCTGTTTCGTCTTCCATGTTGTGACGTCAGATCATTTCCATCGATCATGTCCTCAGAAAACACTGTCCAACTCCTCACAAATCCAGGGCGTCAGCATCTCAGAAAGAGAAGTTATTGAGAGTCTAGAATCAAAGTCAAATAAATTTATCGACGCTGCGAAACAATTAAAAGAACAATATGTAAGTATTTGTAAAGTCATTTTCTATCATTATAAGCAAGCTTATCGAGGCACAAAAGGAGTATGTTTCGTGTAAGTTGGATGTGCAGAAGACTGAGGTGTTTAAAACATATTTTTAAGGCACTGAATAATCTTAAGGAATTTTGTCCTTTTTCGTTTCAGTCTTCAGTATCCCTACAGCTGTACTAAAAATGTCTAAAAAGTACATTTTTTTGTATCGTTATTTTAAAATTTCATCTCATATTACTACATTTGAGGAAGTTTTAGAACGATATATTATCAAAGTTACTATTTTTGTTTTACAGATACCGCCAACGGGAAGAAGAATAACAAACACTCACTTAATAGATAGACTATCAGAAGTAGAAATAGACATTTTGCCAACAACAAATTTTTCCAAGGCATTTATTCCTTTTACTGTTATTTATTATCAAACAATAAGTTCGATTCTTTCTTTCCTTTTTTCCATTTTATAAACTTTGCATGTGGATACATGTATAAAATTATATGTCTAATTTTATTTCAAAGGAACAGACTGAATTCTTGAATGAAACTTGGATTGATTTATCTGTTGTTTCCGACTGCTTGGAACTTGTGAGAAAAGAGGAAGAAGCTCTCAGTTTTGGAGAACTATCACATTACACAAATATGACAACGAATGCCTTATGTGCCATGCGCTTTGATCTTCATACAGCATTACATTCATTAGAAATTGGTATGGGAAACCATGCTAGCTACAACGCAAATAGCAGTAGAGTGTGCAGAAGTTTTGTGAACCGTCAAGATAGGTACTTTAGGGACTTTGTCATTGTAAATCAGTCATTGAAATATATGGAGAGACTTCGTAATTATCTTGCACAAATGGCTGAAGATTAAATTTAGCATAGTACAAACTTATGAGAAGCATTGCCTGACTTGATAACAAACAATACACCTCATTTCAATGGTTGTCATAAAAATATTTAGTTGTATATTTACAAGCTCTTTTTAAAACATTGTTCATGATTTTATTTCTCATTAGATTAATCTATTTTATATCACTATTTTACAAAAAATACGTGTTTTTTTTCATATTATCAGTTTTGTAAACCCAAAAGCCGATGTACATAAGTTTTATTGTTATTTTTTTTTATTCAAAATGCCAGTATATAATTCTCAGAAAGTATTTCACCGTTGTAATGATTTTATAAACGTTTTAAAAATATATTTTATACTTTGAATTTTCTATTATTTATTGATGTCAGATTTTATTTATTATGCACTTACTTAACAAACATATCAATATTTATGTGAAGCATTCGTAAATCTTTTGCATTATCTTAACAATAAATATTTTGCATTTGGGTGTTTTATGCTGCTTTCTTAACGTAAAATAATACAAATATATTATAAAGCTTGATAAACATGCATTTTCTAAAGATTTGTGGTGCCAAAGAATGGTAATGGTTATGTTATATCTCATTACGTACAACAGGATTCTTTAAATACGTATTGGTCTAACGAGTGCATAACAAAATTGATACATGAAATTCTTTTTAAAGCTAATTTTATACAAAAAATAGTTATTCATGTTATTGCAAGATTCTAGATTCTTTATGCATTTATTTGATGTTCATATATTCAACTGCATTTAGATTCGGGTTTATGATACATCTATACACATTTTGAACACCTTTTCCACGTTATTAAAAAAAATGTAACATTTCTAAGACTTTCAACACTTTGCAAATACAATTTTAAATATTTAGAGAATGTAGATGAACATAAATCTAAAAGAAAAATACTTATTCCTGAAAAAAATTTACTGTTTGCTGCTTTTCAATTAAACCATAAACATATTTGTTCAAGGTAGTTAAGAGTCTAAATTAATAGGCAATAATTATATGGAAGATGGTGTAATAACCTCTATGTATATAAGCCAAATACTCCAAATTTTTCCAAAGAAAAAAAAATGAAGCAAACGGAAGTATACCCTTCTCTTCTATGTAAATAAGAAATAAGTTCTGTGTGTTCTTCTTTTTTTTAATAAGAAGGAAATTTCTTGTGTGACGTTTTCACTGAGGATTTTAATTATCCATACAAGTAAACAGGATTTGTAAGAAGAATAAATTCAAGAAGATGATGCCATAAAGTTTCAGGTAGTTGAAAAGCCCATATACCTTATATTCTTGCCAAATCCTATGACCAATTTAATATCGATTGTTTTGAAAAGATTATTATGCTTGAGTTAATATACATGTACATTTACTGAGACATAAGTTTGGATAATCGTGCTGATTGAGATACAGATTACCCGGAGATGATCAAATTACAGCTACTTGAATTGTATATTGAACAGATATGAGAAATTTGAAGAAAAATATATTTTCGTATACGTTATAAAATAGCTAATTATGGAAAGCCATAGGAGACCTCCAGGGTCAGGTATTCCTATAAATTTCCATAGCTAATTGGTAAGTTCGTCATGATAAGTTTCTGCAAAATTATTACAACAATAATTTCTTACAGAATAGCTTAAAGTCATTAGGAATCATTGAAAAAATATCCTCTCATTTCTTTCACGGCAAACCAAAATTACCCCGTTTGAAACGTTTTCGTCTCCAGCTATTGAGTGTGGTAAGATTTAACTTGTAATATTCAAAATTCCAATATTTTCCTCCTACTATCATAAATATATATGCGCATAAAAAAATCTAAAAAATATATTTGTTTGTTGAATTTTTCACTCATATTAAGACGCAATCATTTGTCGATGAAGGGCTATGTACTCACACCCATTGAGCAGTGAGGAATCTTTTTAATTCCAGCACCTACTGCGACTCGAGACCTCGGCTTATAAGTCTCTTTTATGTTCTTTTAAATGCAATTTCTTTTGAAATAAGGTATTGCTTAAATGAAATGTTAAAACTTAATTAAATTGAAACCATCATTTATTTATAATATTTGAAGTCTAGGAAATTTTTGATAAATTTGAATTAAATTTGAAGTACAATAAATATGAGGAAAAAATCCTTTAGGGTAGAGCAGAGCAGGGGCATTATTCCAATATTATATGGTGTGTCCAAAATAGTATGTGTCCTAAGGAAGGCGTTAATTTTAAGACTGTAAGGAATTTCCATCCTCCTATAATGTCATAGGTTTTAGCAAAAAAAAAAAAAAACAAAAAAAAAAAAAAACAACAAACTGTTATCATTGTAGGTTTTTGAAAAAAAACTGTTATTTATATAAATTCATATACAATACAACAAAACTTCATAGAAGAATGCTTTTCAATAGGTTTAATGATAGATATTGTTAAGTAAAGGAATATAAAAGATGTATATTTATTTATTTAATCAATTATTCGATCTTTAATCAAGTGCCAAGGATGGAGAAAGCACAGTCCTAAACGCTCTGTATTAGTTTGTAATTGTATAAGTATGAGCTTATTTGTTGAGAAATGGAAACCTTTACCAAAATGATTGTGTTTATATAAAAAGTAATATTTTGTTTAAAAAGCAGATTCTTTCTTTTATCTTATATTATCTTATTTCCTTTGTGTTTGATTGTAGATCTGAAAATATTGCAAATATCTTGCAGAGATATATATATTTTTATATATATTTATTATATGTATATTATACAGATCTTTGCATGTATATTTGGTGTTTTTAATGATGCATTTAAAATCAGATTCAATGGCTTCAATGGAATCGTGTTAACATTGAATTGTATCAGGATGTCTTAACAGCCAGTTTACAAACAAATTGTAAAACAGCATTTCAGAAAACTACTGTTTGTCCCTTCATAAATACTCAAGAGAAAGGGGTTACACAAAGTCATTCTATTTCAACCTGAACAATTCCGAACAGGGTATTTGCGACAGAAAAGAGTGTAAATTTTCCCATACTTGTCAGCGCTGTGGGGGAGAGCGCAGTAGAAAGGTATGTCCCACTTCCCCCAAATCAACCACAAATGCTGAAGGAAGACAAAAGGTTTGAAGTAATCAAGGTCCGGTTGAATTCAAACAGTTCGCACCTAAATCAACAAAATAATTGATTTTGAAATTGTTAACCTCAGTTAACCTTGACATATATGGTTATCAAATTCCAATAGAACTGATAGGGAGTTCCTGGTCTTAGGTTCAAAAAAGGTGGTTAAACTACCTTTTAAGGGTAAAAACATCGTAGTCTCAGCGACAATTTAAACTCTGCAAGGCAACATTTAGACATTCTTCAAGACAGAATTACACAAAGAATTAGCGTCTAGAATCTTTAAAAGTCCGCCCCTAGGCTGAGTGCCCAAAACGCAACTTGTCAAATTCGGGTTATTCATCATTTGACGTACCCAGAAGGTTCATTCATTAATGAAGGAATACCTCCAGAACTCTGTTACATCAAGTATAAAACAATTGACGACTCTGTTTACATTTTTAAAAACAAAAATATAGCAAAGTGGCTTTATTTTTTACGACTGATATTGAGAATGCATTTAAAATAATTCCCGTTCACCCTTCAAATAACGAATTACTGGGTTGACAATACATCCATAATTTTTGAAAGATAAATGAATTACTTCTGGAACATTATCCCTCTATACAGATGCAAGTTATCTTGGTTTTGGGAGTACTTTTCAGACGAATTGGTTTTATAAGGAATGGCCTGAAAAGTGGCTTCAGATATACATTACAATCGGGGAACTATTGCCTATTGTACTGACCATAGATTTGATGGGCCACGTCCTGCAAAATTCCTGTAAAAAATTTATTCTGATAACATAGCTATAGTGTACATTATTAACAAACAAACATCTACTGATCCGAATATTATGAAATTAATGCGGCGATTTGTCGTCAAGACAATGCAATTCAACATTTTATTAAAGCCAATCGTCATATCCCTGGTGTACTGAACGATTTCTGGCTTACAGGTATAAGAATTCAAGGAGGGGTTCCCATCCATGAATCCATTGCCGACATTAATATCCCCAACAATGCTCAACTTAAAGAACCTTGCTGACTTTATTTTGCAGAGTTCATTTTCTAGAAGAAGTCTGGGTTATCATACGATAGAGCTTTTACATTTAAGTCCTTCCTGAACAACCAATATCCAAACATCTCTATCTTACCACCATCATCTCAACATGTCGCGCTTTTTGTAACCTTTTGTTTCAACATGACGATGTCGATCTAGAAAAGTTATTTACCAGCTCTAGGATACATATTAAAGTAAAGGGCTATCAAGACGTCACAAAGTTTTTTGTCATTCGCAAAATGCAACAAGGGTATGAAAAGTTAAAACCAGGTACATTGTACGGGGATACAAGGTTGCCTATAACATCGTCTTGTCTAAGAAATTTAATAGACTCTCTTGATCATTGAGGTATCTCATTTTACCAGCGCAGCATGATAATCAATGTATTTGTTGGCCTTCCATGCATTTGTAAGATTGGGGGGAATAACTATCACATCTCGACATCAGAATGAAAATGTACGTTTTGTTACTGGAAAGTGTTAAGCTTGGTCAATACAAATCAAACACTCTAGAAGGCCTGGAAATTAGACCTGATTTTTATGCCCTCCTTCGAAGAAGGGAGGGCATATTGCTTTGCTGCTGTCTGTCGGTCGGTCGGTCTGTCGGTCCACTTAGTTTCCATTCATTTTCTTCACAACCGTTGCACATACTGAAATGAAATTTGGTATGCAAATATATCACATGTATATCCAGACCAAGTTCTGTTTCGGGTACAATTGCACCATTTTTGACAGAGTTAAGCCCCTTGGACGTAGAAAAATTTCAATTATTTGCAGTTTCCGTTCATTTTCTTCGCAACCATTGCACTGAAATGAAATTTGGTATACAGATATATGACATGAATATCTAGGGCAAGCTCTGTTTTGGGTACAATTGCACCATTTTTGACCGAGTTATGCCCCTTGGACATAGAAAAATTTCAATTATTTGCAGTTTCCGTTCATTTTCTTTGCAACCGTTGCACATACTGAAATGAAATTTGGTATACCGATATATTACATGAAAATCTAGGTCAAGTTCTGTTTTGGGTACAATCGCGCCATTTTTTTTTTCAGAGTTATGTTCCTTAGACTTAGAAAAATTCCAAGTATTCGCAGTTTCCGTTCATTTTCTTCGCAGCCGTTGCACATACTGAAATAAAATCTAGCG